CTGCGCCGTGATCCCCGCGAGGGGAAAACCCGGCGGAGAATCGGGGGTCGGCTGAGCTCAGGGGGTGGCGGGAGGGGGCAGAGGGAGGTCAGCGCCGAGGGAGGCCCGCCCGGCCACACAGGCGGGGCCAGCCACGGGGCGCTCAGCCCGCACAGCCCCAGGCCCTGCCCCAAAGCTGCAGTTTCCGCCGCTTGCCCGGCAAGGCAGGTCTATTAATATGTGTATTAAAATATTTACTTTCACCTCAAGTTCATTTTTTTCCCTCTGATTATAAAATAAAATAAAATAAAACACTGTTTCCGCCCCGGGAAGTGCGAGAGGCCCTGGCCCTGACAGGTCGGCCCGGCGTGCCAGGCGGGGGAGGGCGGTGCGGCCCACGGCTGCTGTCCAGGACCCACTGGCCCACCCCTGGCTGCACCCTCACCGCCCCCACCACGAGAGCCCAGCGGCGTGCGCTTCTTAGCTCCGTGGGCAACAGGGAACGCAGGGGCGCCCGGGACGGGGCCAATAGCCACTCCTTGCTGCTCCCCCACCCGGGAGATGCGCCCAGGACCGGGCCCCGCTGAGCCGGTGGGAGCCGCTGCCGCAGCCTCGGACCTCGGTGGCTGAGACCACGGGGCCGCCTGCCCGGAAAGTGGAGGCACCTCCCAGCCAGCCTCACGCCAGGAGGCCCTGCCTCCGGCCCCTGAAGCCCCACAGGCAGCGGCAGGAGCTGCAGGTCCAGCCTGGGGAGCCAGCCCTGGAAGCGCTCGGGCAGCCGCGGCCAGCGCCAGGCACACGCCGGCAGCGGATAACTGGGTTGAAATGACCGTTTCCGAAACCCTGAAGGGTCTCAAGAGAGCTGCTCAGAGGTGAAGTAGGGAACTGTCAGGCGCGCTTTCCCCATCCCTGCCCCCGCCCCCCGAGCCCCCTGCCGGCTGCGGTGACAGCATCCCGCTTCCAGAAAGCTCTCCGAGCAGGAGACAGCGCCCGGGCGGAGGGCACATGGAGGGCCGGGCCCACAGGGCAGCCCCAGTGGGACCGAGGCCCCGGGGCCAGGGCAGGAGCCAGCGGCTCAGCCGAAGGTCGCTCACCTGGTCGGGGGACGAGTCTCCCTGTGCGAGGGGGTGGGCGGGCCGCTGGGTCGGGTGGGGTGCGTGGCAAGGTCTGGAGTAGCGGGGGCGGGTGTCCAGTGCCGCCCTCAACGGCAGGCCCAACACCTGGAGGCCGCCAGCCCCAGGGACAGCTCGGGCACCTCCGGGGGGGCCGCCCCCGCTCCGCCCACCAGAGCCTGCAGGTGGGGCCAGCGGCCACGTCCCTGCTCCAGTCCCTCCGCTTTTGGCAGAACAATCCTGCTCTTGAGCCTGGGGGCTTTCAAACGCCCTCTGAGAGCACGGAGCAGGACGCCCGCCTCCTCGGCCACCCCACACTGTCATCTTCTTACCTTTGCCAACTGAAAACACGCCCGGGTGACACGAGCCAGAGCGCTCGGCTCGCCAGTCACGGCCGCCGGCTGGGGCTCAGCGGCCCCACGCGCTCTGGGCGGCCGAGCAGCGGGCGCCGGGAGCTGGGCCGGGAGCTGGGCCGGGAGCTGGGCCGGGAGCTGGGCCGCTCGCCCCAAGTCAAAGCCAGTGCCCAGTCCCCGGCAGCCGAGGGCGGCCCCTCCGCTAGGCTCACCCAGGCCACGCTCCCCGGTCCGGGGTGACTCACGCGGCCCAGGCCGGACCGGTGCAGGCGCGGCTCGTGGGCACCCGCGGGCTCCCCACCCCGCCCCCCTCCCCGTCCAGCCCCGTCGCGAGGGCGAACAGCTGCGTCTCCCGCGGCCGTCCCGTGTGCTCAGCGGCTGTGTCTTCCGCGCCATCTGCGGCTTCCGGGCATCATCACCTTTTCTCAGGAAATAATTCCCCAGCCTGAAACGCGCCTCGCGCTTCCCCTGCTCTCTGCTAAGGGCTCAGCCGCAAACAGGGCCGCCCACAAGGATGTAAGCGCTGCGGAGGGCTCTGCGTTCATTTCCTTCCCGTGTTCTTGCATCGTAAAAATTCCCTCATCTTTTTGGACTCTCTTTCTCGACGTGATAGGACTTTATTTTTGCCACATGGATAACCACGGGCTCCGTTGATTTGGAGTGAAAAGCTTCCGCTTGGAAATCGCACGTTTGTCAGACTTGAACTCACGGCCCTGTCTCGGGCTGGGGTCTGTGCCGGGGGCCAGGCTGCCCCTTGGGCGGGGGTCCCTGCAGGTCAGGCTCCCCGGCGGGGCCGCCGACGGCTCAGAGCCACTCGCCACCAGTCCGCAGGCCCGAGTCTCTGCCTGGCCCTTCGCCTGAGGCCTGCGTGGGGCAACCCGAGAGCCCCCCTCAACTCCGGCTTTGTTCTCCAGGACAACACTGGCTCAGCACGGACGCCAGCGCTTCTGGCCTCGACTCTGAGGCGCTTTGACCCGCTGCTCTCCACTGGTGGGAAGGCAGGTGTGAGGACAGGGTGGGTCGCCTCTGCCTGAAGAACTGGGTGGGCGGGCCGCACCGAGGCTGCGCATTCACACGCCGCCGTCGCCCAGCTCCCGTGAGCCGGCGGTACAGCCTCCCGGCGGCCACGGCAGCCCCACCCTGGGCAACTGAGGTGCAGGGCTGCAGAGGGGCATCGGGCACACGGCCCCCGGCCCCCAGCTCTTCCGGGCCACGTGGCCTGCTCCCCATTTCTCCTCTCTCTGCCATGGGGCTTAAGGGAAAGGAATGTGTGCCGTCACCAGACGGGCCCCACAGGGACCATGCTCCCTGCAGAGCGGGGCTTGGCCGGGGTGGAGAGGCCAGGGCTGTGCCTCCCCAGCCTCCTTCCAGCCCCCCCTTCTCTGTTCCTCCTCCCAGTAGGGGTGAGAGCAGGCTCGGGGTGGGGCCCCAGGGCCCACTGTCTTCCCTGGTACGAAAGTGCGGGCGAGGGCGCCCCAGAGGCCCCAGGGGCGGGCTGCAGGACAGGTGCCTGGGCACAGGGCCCTCGGCGCTGCTGCGGAGGCCCACGCCGGCTTCCGTCCACGGCTGACTGAAGACCTGGTTAGTGTGGAGACGGCAATGAGGGGCCCTCAGGGGCCGGTCCTGGCTTCATCTGCCCAGGGCCTTCCTTGTCCCGTTTGGTGACAGCCTGGGACATGTCAGAGAGTCTCCCAGGTACCGCTTAGGACTCTCTGCCCAGGAAAAAAGCCGCACGAATCGGAACCTTTTCCTGGGCTGGGAGCCAAGGCCCCAGGACAACGGGGGGCCCAGGGCCCTGGAGAGCAGGTGCCAGGGGCCCAGGGGCTCGGCAGGCCTGGGACAGAGGGAGCGAGCCTGGAGGCTGCCCTCTCCTCCCAGCTGCCCTCTCCGAAGACCCCAGACGTGTGACCTGGGAACAGGCCAGCCCAGCGAGGGGTGCACATCCCTGCGGTGAGAGGGAGCCGGGGCACGTCAGCCTCAGGGCCCTGCGGGGGTGTGGGCTGGTGAGGGAGGGGCCGGGCCAGGGCAGAGCTGAAGACGGGGTGCGTTCAGTGCCGCGGCCCCCCCACGCCCACTGCCAGGGGCACACCCACTCGGGAGGGAAGTAGGGACCTGCCGCAGGGCGTGGGAGGAGAGCAGGGGCCCCCAGAAGCCCCACCGGCCCCGGGACGGCACGGCGGCCCCGGCCGGGAAGTGAGTTACTGGGACAACTTGAACCCAGTGACCAGGAACGGCGCCTCTCGGGGCGGGCGCACGCTGGGGAGCGGCTGGCTGAAGGGAGGCCAGGGGTGAGCGCCGACTTCTTAAGACAAACTTTTAAACCAAAGTAGAGGAAAACATTTAATAATCCCATTTGTGTATTTTCTCAAAGTAATAAATAACATCAGGATTAAGGAGTCACTGATAACACGCGGTAATCACCCGACTGAGCTTGAATCTGGTGAGCGCTTACCCCGTCTCATAAAACCTCGACTTACGGGGGGTCACAACGTGGATGCAGACATATATGCCTCCAACTTTTTCCACAAAGAAACAAAATGCACAATTTGAAAATAAAAGAATCCAACCGCAATGTTTCAGGTGTGAGCTCAAGTGCACCACCCGTCCGCTTATAGAAAAAATAGGTGATTCTTTTTTAATGATTTATGCATATAAAAGAAAAATAAATTTTATGATACAACTGGACAGACTGCTCCACACAAAATCTCACCGGCACACAATGGACGCGATTTCACGAGCACAGAAAGTCTGGTCTATGGACGAGCGCACAAAAGGCCGACACCTTACTCGGAGCCAGCAGGCCATTCGGGACTCGGGGTGGTGGTGCTGGACGGGCTGGCAAAGGGGACGGGGTGCCCCCAGGCTGGAGGAGGGAGCCCCGGGAGCCCCCAGCACGGTGGGCAGAGAGCGGTCCCCCTCCCCCCGCGGGCCCCTGAACAGTCTCCCCTTAACCCCACTCACCTTAGCAGTCAGAACGACCCTAGCAAAGATTTGATTTTGGAAATCTCACTCAAAGTAACCTCAACGTGCCGTTTGTGCTGATGCTCAAAGTGCCGGCGACCCAGGCGCAGCCCAGGCCCGGGGCCCCAGCAGTGAGCCCCCCACGCTCGAGGCACGAGCATTCGCGGGGTGACGTGTCAGTGAGCAACCGAAACAAACCGCGTTTAACACAAAACTTAACTTTTTCCTCCAAAATAAAAAAGCAACATCAAAAGGATCCGCATCGGTGCCGCCCCCCCACCCCCGCAGGGCCCCCCGCGAGGGTCGGGGCGCAGCTCTGCAGGGCCCGGCTGGCCAGAGCAGGCCAAGGCCCCAGGGCGGCTGGCCAGGCCCCCCTCCAGGTCTGCGGAGTGACCCCGCCTCCTGCACGGGGCCCCTCAGCGGCAGGGCCGCCTCCATGGGGGGCGCAGGGACCCCAGCGGGCTCTGGGCGCTCAGGAGGGAGGGCCGCGGGCACGGGGAGAAAGCCTCACACAGGTGTGGCGAGAGCCGTTTATAGCCCGGGAGCCGTTCACAGCCTGCTGGGGGGTGCGGGGGCAGAGGGGGTGGGCGGCCCCCCCCGCCCTGTCTCCAGGCGCCCCTCACCGCCGGGCGCTCAGGCCCACGCCGCACACCATCCTGCGGATCTTGTCCTCGTTGCGCAGGACGCTGGCCTTGACCGCGCAGATCTTGTCCTGCTGCTCGCGGATGAGCTGCTCCAGCTCGGCCAGCTCCGCCCTCAGCGGCTCCACCGCGCCGTCCGTGATGCTGCGGGAAGCGCCGGGTCAGCAGCCGGGGGTGTCCAGGGCCGACGCCTCCACCAGAGCCCGCCCGCACCCCGAGTCAGGGGGTTGAGCACCGCGCTACGAAGCTGTCCGCAGCTCCCGCAGCAAGAGTTCCATCCCCGGCCCCGGCCTGCCAGGGAGCGACCCACAGGGCGCAGCAGACCCCTCCTGTCTCCCCGCTGCTCCCCTCAGCAGTGGATTTCGGTCAGTCTGCCTGTTCTGCTCCCCGCTCTGTCTCTGGGGAGTCCTCTCACCCCCACACTTCTGGCCTGCACCCCAGTTCATGTGTGCATAAATAAATAAATCTTTTTTTTTTTTTTTTAATAGAGGCATGTTTTTCTTTCTTTCTTTCTTTATTTGTTTGTTTTGTTTGTTTATACAAGCACTGGGTACAGTCAGAAGCGCGGGAGGGTGAGAGAATTCACCAGAGCCAGAGTGGGGAGCAGAGCAGGCAGAAGGACCGAAGGACACTGCTGAGGGGAGCAGCGGGCGGCAGGGGAGGTCTGCGCGCCATGTGGGACCCTCCTCCGGTGGCCGGGGAGCAGCCGGGGATCGAACTGGTGCCGCAGAGGCCGTGGGCAGCTTTGCAACCCAGAGCTCAACCGCTGCGCCACCTGGGAGGCCCAATCTTTTTTTTTTTTTTTTTTTTTTAAAGGCCCCTGTGGAACTCCCTCGATTTTTAAAGTTTAAACCTGGGCCTGAGTGTCACAGCTGCAAGAAATGCACCTGGTCCCAAGGGGTCCGTGCCCTTGGTGGGGGAGGAAGGAGAGAGGGGCTGGGAGAAGTGGGGGCTCCCCCAACCTGCACGCCTTCTGCAGGATGACCCTGCCCCCTCCCCCTGACCTGTGCCCCCACCCCCAACCTCTGCCCCCGACCTCTGCCCCCACTGCAGGGCCCGGCCCCCACCTCTGCTCCTGCCACAGGGCCTGCTCCCCCACCTCTGCCCCCACTGCAGGGCCGGCCGCCCACCTCTGCTCCTGCCGCAGGGCCTCCGCATGCTGCCTGTTCTCGCCGTGCCACAGCTGCAGCTCGTTCTGCATGGCGTCCACGTCCTCCTGGATGTAGTCCATGATCTTGCCCAGGGGCAGCGCACTCTTGCACAGGGTCTGGATGGATGTGCGCAGCTTCTCGATCTCCTTGGCAACGATGTCCTTCTCCTTCTTCCACGCCGACTCGAAGACGGGAAGCTTCTCCTGCAGCAGGTGGAGACGTGAGGAGAGACGCAGCCTCGTGCGTCAGGAGGGACGGGCTGGGAACCCAGCCTAGGGTCTGCCGGCTTGGCCCCCCGGTCCCCCGCGAGGCCAGGGCTGGCACCTGGAGGCACACCTCTACACAGCAAGGTCTTACTTCCCAACTGGCCGGACCCAACCAACTCCCCGTTGGGAGTTGGGAGCGGGGGACAGCGAGGCTCCGCCCCCGTGGACTGGTGAAGGGGACCGACCCCTCAGCGGGCAGGGTGCTGGGGCACAGCAGGCCCACCGAGGGAGGGGCTCCGGCGGAGGGCGGGCACGGGGTCCAGGCCCGGGGTCGGGCAGGTGGGTCTGGAGGTGGCAGGGGGAGCCCTGGTGTGGGTGGCGGGGAGCAGAACAGACCCACAGACCTGGTGCGGGACAGAAGGCCAGAAAGAGGCCCCCACAGATACACCAACAAGAGGCCAGAGAAAGGACTCCCGGGGCCCACGCGCAGCTCCCACAGGAACCAGCTCAGGATGGCGGGGACCTCAATACAGAGCATAACACTTCAGAAAAACCTGGAGGAAAGCTTGGGGCCGGGCCAGCGAGGAGCTGTACTTGAAACCCAAGCGCCGTCCGCTAAGGGGAAGCAGAGGGGAGCCCGCCTGGGCTCACACAGCCTGCGCGGCCCAAGTCCCCAGGGGCTCCCGGGGGGCAGGAGGGAGGAAGCCGCGGCTGCGACAAGGCTCCGGAGACAAAGCACCACGGGCAGGAGTGTGGGGGAGCGGGCGGGCGAGGGGCCCGGGGGCATGGCGCGTCCTGCACCCCGATGGGTTCCCGGGCACCCGCCTGGCAAGCTGTGAGCAGGGGAAAGCCAGTCGAGACCTCAAGGGCGTCTGTCACCCTCCCTGCCGTGGCGCTGCGGCTGCCTCCAGGGGACGCTGAGGCCCTACGCCGAGTGCGCCCCGGGGTGCCCGCAGCCCGGCAAGCTTCCCGGGAAGTGTGGCCAGCTCCCACCCGCTCGGCCGGGAAGTCCTTCCAAGCCCACCAGGGTGCCCAGCGAGGGCCCCTGCCAGGAGAGGACGCGTGCAAGGGCCTGGCCCAGCTCCCCTGCCCAGGCCGCCTGCCCGCCCCACCCCACGCGAGGTCCTCCCGGCACGCCCCACCCTCTCACCTGAACAACCCCATCCCCTTATCGTAAACCGCCGGCCCGGTGTTGTATCAGGTGCCCGTGGAAGACACGGCCACATGAGCCCACCTGGGCACCCGCTGCCCACCCTCGCCACGTGCCCAGGCACACGGGCACCCGCCTGCCCTGCCTGGCCATGGCCTCGGCTCTTCTGGAGGAAGCCGCCCGGCAGTGTCCAGCGTTCGGCTGCTCTCACAGGCACGCGCACCTTAGAGGACGTGAGGTTCCCAGGGAACCGTCGCTCGAGGGACTCGACCACCTGCTCTTGTGCAGACGAGAGCACGGCGCTGGCCGTATCTCCAGAGTCACGAGGCCTTACTGAGGTCAAACAAAGGCTGCTTACCTAACGGACTCATTTCTTTACACGTCCACACGCTGCTGCAGAAGGAAGCGTGACTTCTGAACAGCACCTCAGTCCCGGGCCCCCAGCACTGTGAGAGCGGGGGGCGGGGTCAGGGGCGGGAGGCGCCCTCCTGAGCAGGGCTGCCTGCAGGACGCAGCCACCGCCGGGCTGGCGCTGGGAGGGCTGGCGGCTGAGAGGCGCCTTCCCCCACGCCCAGCCGCATTGGCACCCCAACCACGGTGGAAAGCAGAGGCTGGCGGGACAAAGGCCGGTCTGGGGGTCCTGTCCACCCAGAAGTGCCTGCCCCAAACAACTTCACAAGCCTGCACCGACACCCACGCCAGGCCAGGTGGCCCTGGGTGGTGCCAACCCAGCCCTGGAAAGCAGGCGCTTGTGCCGGGTTTCTCAGCCTCAATCAAGCCTGGGCTCGCACGGCCTCACGGCCGCAGCAAGCACCCTGCACAGAGGGAGGCAGCCCCGCGCCTTTGGGGAGCTGGACTGTCAGCCAGTGTCACACTGCCGCCGGCCTGCGACCGTGGGGGACAGGCTTCTGGAGAGGAGCCACCGGGTGCCCCGCACACCAGCCCCCGCGAAGGGCGGGCCTCTGGGTGCCCCGAGGGAAGCAGAGCGAGGGCGCTGAGCACCAGACCCAGGGTCCCTGCAGCCAGAGCCAAAGGCCGGTGTGCGGAACACAGACGGCGACCTCAGGCGCCTCCTGCACACGGGGGTGGACACGCTTGGGAGTCGCTCACACAGAGACCTGACCGCATGGACATGGACGGGCTGTGGGGCAGGACTCAAGTGCTGGGCTGGAGGGCCCTCCGCTCCCTCGGGCGGCCCTGCAACGCCCCACGGGCGTTTCTGAAAGGCTCTGCCGCTCGTGTCCTCTCCCAGGTGAACGTGAGACCCCCCGCACCCCTCCAAACACCGCTGGGCACCTACAGGAATCGGGGCACGTTCATGGATTACCCGGAGGGACAGGCCCTCTCCGCGCCCCGTCCGTCTCAGCCGCGCCCTCTCCCCAGCCCAGCGAGGCCGGCTCCCAGCACAGCTGCGGCGGCTGTCCCCAGGCCCCGCGCTGTTGTTTCCAGTCTTGGACGGGAACTCTACACACATTGTTTCCAACTGGTTCTGCGGACTCAGAGGGAAATGCCAACTTTTATATATTTATTTTGTCACCAGTCATCTTATAAATTTTTTGTAGAATTTTTTCCTGGAAAAGATTCTATTTCACTATTAATTATATAATAAACACATGTTTTAGAAAAAAGATTAGCAATTCCTGACCATGAACTTTTGTTTTTCTATTTCTTTACCATTATTTACATCTCTAAGGTCCAGAGTAGCTACAGATCCTTAGGATTCTGTAGTTCTTTTATTTTTTTTAAAGATTATCTATTTATGCATGCAAGAACTGGGGTGCAGGCCAGAGATGTGGGGGGTGACAGGATTCACCAGAGACAGAGTGGGGAGCAGAACAGGCAGATCCACTGAATCCACTGATGAGGGGAGCAGCGGGCGAGTCAGGAGAGGCTGCGACTAGCTTCACAGGTTGCGTCCCGACCCCCCGCACCCCCAGGGAGGCCCCTGGAATTCTTTTCAAGACACTCAGATTCCGGCCAGAATGGACGAACGGGACCAAAGCAGGGCGCCTCGGGGGCAGGGGCAAGCGGCCGCGGCCGAGGCAGAGGCGCGTGGCCCGAGAGCCCCAGAGCAGCCGGGGCAGCCCGCGGCACCGGCTCGCTGTCAGGGATGGTCTCCTGACCAGCACAGGCCACGCGCTGCCCCTGGGGCAGGGAGGCAGGGGACCCTGCGGGCAGCCAACTCGCTGGAACCGGGGAATACGCAGACCAACCCCAGGGACAGCAGGGCCACTGGGGAGACCCAGGCGTCCAGCACAGCACCGGGGAGAAAAAACGCACGTGGGCCGCAGCAGGTAAGAGGCTGGTGTGACTTGGCCAAGCCCAGGGTGGTCACGAGAGGCAGTCTCCACGGGGTGTGGGGGGGCGAGCAAACACCCAGCTTCCTACGAGCACTGACCGAGGCAGGGGGCAGGAGGTGCGGGGCAGACGGCCCTAGAGGGCATCTGGGCCACTCAGACCCCCTCAGCCCGAGCGCACTGCAGCAAGAGACCCACCTGGTGCCTCTGAACGAGCCCAGCCCATGGCTGGCCACAGGCCCTCAGCACCCTGGGGCTCACCCACGAGCCTCCCAGCCTGGGGCTGGCCCCGGGTGCTCACGAAGGCTGCGGCTGCGGGGAGAGCGCTCTGGGCGGCAGCCAGTGAGCACGCGCAGGTGGGAGGACACACCTGGCCCTCACCGACACCCCAAAAGGAGGGTGTCAAAGGAGGCAGCACAGGGTCGAGGCGCTCGCCCGCTCAGAAACGCTGGTGCCCAGCGCAGGACGTGGGGGTGGGGTTCAGGGAAGCCCAGATGCCCCAGAGCCCCAGCACAGGGGCAGGTTTCCCGCCCAAGGTCAGTGGAGACCAGAGGACGAGAGATCGGAGGAGACCGTCGCCTCCAGCCCTGGCCGTAGACACGGAGGCCGGGGCCGCCCGGGGAAGGGGTCCGCGCAGCTGTTCAAGGAAGCTCCAAGAGCCACAGAAAACACAGAGAAGCAACTCGGCAAATCAGGAAAATAATATCCACAAAGCCCCAGAAGGTGAGCAGAGACGCAGATCACGGGGAGGAGGTCCAGGCGCCCGGAGGCCCGGAGGCCAGGGAGGGAGCCAGCGACCACGCGGTGGAGACAGGCCCGTGACCGTGACCGTGCGCGGCCTGAGGAGAAGGGGCCACAGAACGGAGAGAGGAAAGAGCGCCTGGGGTGTCCCTGAGTTACGGGTCCCAGGGGGAGGAGCGGGCGAAGGGGCAGGAAGCCTAGTCCAGAAAAGCTACGAGGAACCTCCCAGTGCGGGAGAGGCCTGCAGGCCCGCGGCCGCGACGCTCGCGCTCACCACCAGACGCAGCGCGAAGAAGAGGCCTCCCCAGGACACGCGAGCCGAGCCACCGGCCCACAGACAAAGGAGACTCTCCAGACCGCAGGAGGAGGGCAAGGTGCCGCCCCTGGGCCCGCAGGACGCGGCTCCCTCCGGAGAAACCCGGGGCGGGGGTCGCTCAAGGCAAAAACCGCCAACCAGGAATTCCCTGTCTGGCAAAGCTGTGTGCCAGAAATGAGGGCCGATGACGAACATTCAGCCCGGGGGCGTCTGTGCCACCGGAAGGCGCACGCGTCCCACACACGCGGGGTACACGCAGGGTACACACGGGCCGGGGCCAGGCCGGGGAGGGGGCTGCTCAGTCGGCCCACGGGGCCCACAGGGGGTGACACCCGTGGGAGAAGCCGCAGCCCTGGGGCCGGAAAACTGCTCCCTCCTCGGGGTGTTCTCACGAACCCGTGATTCCCTGCCTTAGAATCACCCAGGTCCTGCGGGGAGAGCGGCTCCCTCCCCGGCCTCCTCCACAACCACCACGTCCTAGGACACGGACGACCAGCCTGGCCGGGCCTGGCCTGGCCTCGGAGCTGGCCGGGGCGTCGCGGCGAAACGGCGCCACCTAGCAGCGGCCAGAGAGACCAGGGCGAGAAAGCCCTGCCTTTTGGGGACCCTGTTTACACCCCCCCAGAGCCGCCTGTCTGTCGTGGTGAAGATGGTCTGGAGCCGGTCCTGGCGAATGCGCGTGCACCCCGCAGCCGATGCGCCTGTGCCCTTCCCTCGGGTAGGAAGTCAAAGGCCTTGACGGCCGTGGGGACCCAGGGGAGGAGGGGGTGGGGGGGTGGGGGGGGCCCGTGGGCAGCCCCGGCAGGAGAGCCCAGCACGTGGGACGGGTCTTGCCTGCTGCTGGCCTGGCGACGCCGCTTAAGAGGGTTACAAAGAAGCATTTTTAAAGCATGAGAAACACGCCATAAAACTGCTTTTCTGGTTGTTTTCAAAAACTTCTTCATAAATCTGAAGGAAAAAATGCTGGCGCGAGCCAATGTCTTACTATTAACAGTTTATATTTCCTCTCGAGGAGCGCCCGGCACGCCAGGGTAATGAGGAAAGTGCTCGCAGCGACCTGACGCGCATTTAGCCTACGGCTTCGCGCTCAAGTCTGTCAGCACAGAGGAATGGCTTCTCTCCCCGCGGCACTCCAAAGCCAGGGAGAGACGCCGGGTCACGAGCATCTGCTTCCTCCGCGCCCACGGGACCGTCCCGCCTGGAGAGAAGCAGCACCCAGGGGAGGGCACCGGCTCTCTGGGGCCGCGGGACGGCTGCCCGGGCACGAGCACGGGGCCGGCCGGACATGGCGGTGGCCTCGGGGCGGGCACCCGCCTTGCTGCTCCCTGGGAACCCAACGGGGCGCCGAGCCAGAGCCTGACACAGGAGCGGGCGTGCCTCGCAGACGCTGAGACGGTCCCGGCCGCCGACCCCACTGTCCAGAGTCCTCAGGGCAGAGCAGCCACGGCAGGCGGGCCACCCTCCCGACCAGGAGCGATTTAAAAACCCTCATGTTTGAAAGCAAAAAAGCAGAGTCCCGAAGAGCCCACTTGTTAAAAAACAGCAAAGTAGCTCCCCATGAAACTCAAGGACTTTAATATTTAATATTAACTTAATATTCTAGGAACTTAAAATTAAAAAATGAAGCATGCTCAGGGGAGCGTGGAGCCTGAAATGCAATTATGCTGAGAAGGACAAAGGCTGAAAATAAAAGGGCTAAGGAAGAGGCTGGCAAAGTAAAGGCTGAGGGCCGCCCCGGTGGCGCTGCGGGTTGAGCACGGCACTGTGGAGCTGTCCGCAGCCTCCGCAGCGCGGGTTCCATCCCCGGCCGGCCAGGGAGCTGCCCACGGGGCGCAGCAGACCCCTCCTGCCTCCCCGCTGCGCCCCTCAGCGGTGTATCTCAGTCCATCTGCCTGTTCTGTTCCCCACTCTGTTTCTGGGGAGTTCTCTCACCGCCCCCCGCCCCGCACCTCTGGCCTGAACCCCAGTTCTTGTAGCATAAATAAATAAAAATACATCTTTAAAAAAAAGTAAATTCTAAACAAAATTCAGAAGAGAAGGAAGCGTAGAAGCCAACGGCATGCAAACAAGTCAACGCCCCTCACTAGGGGGCGAGTCTCGGCAGCTTTCTCGGGTTCTCATCAAGGACCCGAGACCAGCTCCAGCAGGACCGGCGGAGCAGACCCAGGGCTGGCCTCGAGCAGGGTGGGCTGCGTGGCCCCGGCCAGGCTCCCCGAGGGCTCCCTGCGGCCTTCCCCAGCGGGGGCCACCTCACGCGCCGGGGTGGGGTGTCGGCGCCCTGCCCCCACTATGTTTTCCATCATAAAAGCATACTTGAAACACCTCCGAAAATGAGCATGAAATGATGTTACCGACACACAGGGCGGAAGAGGCAGTTGGTGGCCGTCCCTGCGCCGGCCTGCAGCCCCCCAGGCCTCGCTCCACCCGGCAGCCCCACCCCGCAGGCAGGCACCACCTTCCTCCGGGCGCGCTGGGGCCGTTCTGCGCCGCGGAGCCCCCGCCAACTCGGCAGGGGTGCCTGGAGCACAGGGGGCCCCGCCGGCCCCGGGACCAAGGCAGGGCACAGCCTCCTCCCCTTCCCTCCTGCCAGCGGGACCGGCACACAGGCGGGCGCTGAGACGCCACCGCGGCCCACGCGTGCAGGCACGGCCGCGCCAGCCCGGCTCCCAGGCCACGGCGCCGGCCCCTCCTCCAAGCCACTGTCGGTTTCGGCCTCCCTCCCTCACGCTGGCCCTAGCCGCCGCTGACGCCAACACCCGCGAGAAAACAGCAGCACAGAGCCCAGCACCTGCGGGAAGCGACCGTGAGACAGACTCAGGGCCTGGGCCGGCCCGGCTGGCCGCGGGCTCCGCACATAGACAGGCCCCGTGGAGGGGGCTGCGAAGACCCTGGAGTCACCTCAGGCCGGCGACCTCGAGGTGAGCATGGGTGGAGGCTGTGGGGCTGCAGGCCGGGCACTGGTGCCCAGCCCGGCCGCCTCCACCATGTGGACGAGGTGCAACAGAGACCCAGGGGCCCGAACCCGCAGGAAACGGCAGCGACCACCTACGCACCGCCCGGTGGCCAGAGGAACAAAGCCGGACTCCAGGGCCGCGAGCACCCAGGCAGGGAGGGTCTCCGCGGCGGCCGAGGGTAGCAGCCAGATACCCTGCGAGCTCAGAGGGCGCCGAGACATCCACCACTCCTGGCTGATCTCGGCCCTTTTATTTTAAAAAACGTAACTCGGGCCCCCCCGGTGGCGCAGCGGTTGAGCGCTGGGTTGCGAAGCTGCCCGCAGCCTCTGCAGCGCCGGTTTGATCCCCGGCTGCTCCCCGGCCACCGGAGGAGGGTCCCACATGGCGCGCAGACCTCTCCTGCCGCCCGCTGCTCCCCTCAGCAGTGTACTTTGGTCCTTCTGCCTGCTCTGCTCCCCGCTCTGGCTCTGGTGAATTCTCTCACCCTCCCGCGCTTCTGACTGTACCCAGTGCATGTATAAATAAATAAATAAATAAATAAATAAATAAATAAATCTTTAAAAAAAAAAAAAAAAGTGGGGCTAACATTTAAAAAAAAAAAAAAAAAACGTAACTCGGACCAGCGATTTGAGCCTGGCGTGTAATCAACAAGCCAAGGAAAGGGGCAGCTGAGACGCGCGCCAGGGGTGCACCCTGCCTCGCTCTCGACCCGTGCCTTCCTTTCATCCTTCACACTCTTTATTGTGGTAAAGAAAACGCTTAACGGGGACCTCCCTGGTGGCGCAGGGGGTTAAGCACCACACTATGAAGCTGTCCGCAGCCTCCGCAGCAGGAGTTCGATCCCCAGGGAGCAACCCACATGGCGAGCAGACCTCTCCTGTCTCCCCGCTGCTCCCCTCAGCAGTGGACTTTGGTCAATCTGCCTGTTCTGCTCCCCGCTCTGTCTCTGGTGAATCCTCTCACCCCCCGCAGCTCTGGCCTGCACCCCAGCTCTTGCATGCATGCATAAATAAATCTTTCGGGGGGGGGGGGAAAACCTGAAAACACAACACGACATCTGCCCGCCCGGCAGTTTTTAACCCTTAGAAACGTCGCTCATCCGTCACTGACTCACAATACCGCACTCTTGGGGCGCCTCGGGCCCCCTCCGTGTAGACTTCACTTCACCCCCCCCCCAAGTCTATGCCCTCCAGGGCAGGGCTGAGGCCCCCGCCTCCCCCCAGGCCCCCAAGCACTCACACTGAATGTTTGGACCCTCACACCACATTCTCTCCTTTTATCTGCTGAAGTCAAAAGGCCCCTCCCCTGCCAGGTGCTCGGAGGCGGCTCTGGGGACTCAGGCTCCAGCCTGGCGGGAACAGTGGCCGGGTCTGGGCGGCAGGAGCGTGGGGACCCCAGGACCACGCTCAGGCACGGGCGAAGCACGACGCCCCAAGCTCCACAGCAGCCATGGACAAGGAACCCGGGAGGCCCCCCAAAGAGCAGGCAGGGATAGGGGTGCTGGGTGTTAACAGGGCTCCTCTGACTCAGTCTCCCCACCCCGGTCTCCTTGGTGGCTACTCCAGGCCACCTCTTCGTGACAAACCAGGTCACTCTAAGCAGAATCGTCTAGAAGAGACCCTCTGATCTACCGGGGCGGGGCAGGGGCCGGAGCATGAGGGCCTGCACCGAGCTCTTCGGAACTGTTGGCCACCAACAAAGTTCATAAACCAAGAGACGTCTTGTTAAAAGCCAAAAACGAAGGCTCGTACTTTTAGAAGCGTCCACGGAAACCCAGTGTGCGTGAGGGCGGGTGCACGCGGGCCCGGCTGCGGCGGCGGGGCAGGCCCATGGCACACGCGTGCCCAGGTCACACGGCACATGCCCTCTGGACATCTCACCATCCACAAGGGCTGGGGGTCAGCCTGCCCACTCTGCCAGCAGGGCCGGGAGGGGCGAGGGCCGAGGGGCCCTGAGCCCTCAAGGGACACGCCGCCCCTCCCCGCACAGGCTGTGGGCCAGGGTGGCGGGTGCCCCGGGATTCCCGAGTCTCCACCCTCCCGGTCAAAGGGGCCAGGTGTCTACACCCTCCGGCGGACACCGGGGTCATCGCCTCTAAGGACGCAGCTAAGGCTTTTCAAGAAACGGCGCTGGTACCTTCCCGCCGGGAGTGGGTGGCTGCTGCGACTTCTCGTAATCTTTCTTGGTCTCCAGGATTTTTTGGACAAGTCCTCCTGTTGAAAACAGTGGGTTTGTGTTAAAGTGATTCTCTGCCCTACGATCAAGCATCCTAAATGGGCGCGTGGCGGGGGTGCAGGCGCTGCGCTTGCTCTTTCTGTGCTGAGAGCCGCCTCGCGGCCGCTGACTGCAGGAAAGACAGCCTAGGACAGACCAGCGGGCACCTGCCCCAGGTGTTTCAAGGAAATCGTCTCCTTGAGCACCTTAGAAAAGAAGCAGGTTTCTCTCCCGCGCCCAAGTTTCAGAAGTGCACGGCGACACTCAGAGCGATGGCCACCGACGGGACACACAGAGAACTTCCAGCTCTTCCGAGGAGCAGCGCTTCTTACTTTGGGACAAGAGTCTTCAACGAAAAATGGGAGTTGCCCGTGGGGGAAGAAAAAGCCTTTTCTGAAAATGTTGCTGTGCCCAGCTGAGTCAGCCAGAGCGCGAGCCCCAGGGGAGGGTCAGCCACCGACTGCGCGGCGTCGGCGTGAAGCTGGCCCAGCAGGATGGAGACACGCAGGCAGGCTCACACGCACACACGCTCACAAGCACACTCACGCGGCATTTACCTCGGCTTTTTAACAACAGGCGCATAAGGCAGGGAGGGAGGCCAGGGTGGGGAGGGTGGCCCCGCACCCAGAAGACACCGCGCCTGGGACCGGGGAGCCGTGTCCACACCTCACATGAATGAAGCTCAGCAGATGCTTAAGGCTGAAAGTGAACGCACGGGCGGACAGGCGTGCCCTGCACGCGGAGCCCGGGGAGGAATCACTCCCGCCCGATACGCGGCAGAGTGTGGAGAGCAGCGGGGTGGGCCTCAGCAGACACACAGTCCTGCCCCAAGGAGCCGCTCTGGGGCGCTCTGGGACCCGCTACGGGAGGAACAGACACACCAGGCCAGGCTCCTGCCTCCAGCCGCAGACGAGCCGAGGAGAGGCCCGGCCCTGGATCCGACAGGAAGCGCCGGGTGAGCCCAGGGCATGTTTCTTTTGTGAGAAACACCTAGAAACAGCGGCCAATCCAGGAACAGCAGCGGCCGGGCCAAGCGAAATGGCAGGTTCTGGGCACAAAGGAGCAGAGTGAGCCCGACTCGGTCACAGAGAGGAAGGGGCCTGAGTGTCAAAGGCCCCAGGAGACCCCTCGGCTGAGGTCCCGGGGAGCTGCCATGGGGAGGGCGGGGCCGTGCAACAGGAGTGCAGCGGGGTGCCCCAAGGGACAGAGCTTTGTGGAGGACCAGAGATCGGATTTAAAGAAAAGGAACAGCACTGCAACGTGTCAGAAACAGCCCACCACAGAGTCACAGGCACCAAACAGCCGCAGAAAGACCCGGAGCCCTCCTCAGCGCAGTGGCGCCAGGGAACAAACTCCGATGAAAGCCAGCAGGACGAGGGGCGCCTCCCCGCCCCGCCCACAGGACGCCCCACTGACCCCCGGGGTGGTGCGCAGAGGCAGCCCACCTACTGCTGCTCTGCCCCCGAGTCTGACCCCGTGTCCTGCTCAACCCACAGGAGCGGAACACGTGCAAGAACAGCTCTGCACGGGGGTGACAGGCGGCGCCCAGAGGTGAGAAATGCCGCAGGACGAGCCATGCTCCACGGAGACCGGGGGCCGGGGGGGCCTCGTCAGGGCCTGGTCTGGCGTTTGACTCAAACACACCAGGAAACGCTGGGGAAACGGGGGTCTGATGCTAAGGAGCAGCTGTTTCCCTACAGACAAGGGTGGCCTGCGCTGCGCTTCTCCAGAGGAGCCCGTCCCGACCCGAGAGCCAGGGCGAGGCCACGCCGCTCTGAGGACACCGGGCCGCATGCGGGACCCGGCGCAGAGCGTGCGGAGGCGCAGCCCTGGGGAAGAAGACACCCCATCACAGAGTTGTGGCTCTGAGGGGCTGGGGATCCCCGAGGCAAGGGTGTGGATAAGAAAAGGGGCTCCTGCCCCTCGGTCCTGGCCAGCCTCGCCCCAAAGATGGGCAGCAAGGGTACAGGAGGGGGCCGTGCCATGTCCAGGCCCTGCCCCCGGCCCGGCTGGGAGGGCTCCTCTGTACCTGGCCTGTAAACACGCACACACACACGCGCACACAAACAGACACGCACACACACACCCCGGCATGCACACATGCGCGCACGCGCACACCGGGACTCACCGTGCTTCTCATCTTCCTCCAGCTCCACCGCCGGGACCTGAGAGCGAGGGGAGCGGGAGAAAGGAAGACTGAGGTCTGCTGAGCCTCGGCCGAGCCCCTGGGCCTCCCACCAGAGGGGCGGCGGAAACAAAGTGGGCGGAAAACTGAAAAATGAGAGAATCTGCGCGCGCGAGCTGGGCCTGGGGCCGGGGGGAGGGGGCGCGCGGGGCGGCCCGGGGTCTGCGGGACCCGCCCAGCCAGCTGAGCACCTCGAGCTCCGGCGCCTCGGCAAGCGGCGGGGCTGCCTCCACCACGAACTGGCCGTCGTCCTCGTCGTCGGAGGCCCGCGAGTCCACAATCACGTTGGAGACAGTCTTGCTGCTCCCCGCCCTGGACAGAGGGACGCGCCTGGGCAGAAGGGCCAATGCACGCCGCCTGCCCCTGCACCCAGGGCCATCCACAGTCACCCGAGCAGGCCCGCCCGGCCAGCCCAGGGACAGCGCAGCGCAGGCGCAGTGGACAGGAGGCCGAGGGCCCCCGGCCCGCCTGCTCTAGCCTCCCTCCTGCCCCACCCTCTTGCTGTGTCCACCTCAACAGCCCTCAAAGCAGCCCCTGCCCTGGTCAGGCCCTCAGGGAGACCGGCCCTTCACCTGCTGCCCTCCCAGAGGGCCAGTTCTCCCAGGTCGTGACCCCCAGGGCTGCAGTGACCAGGTGGCGCCGCAGGGCCTCAGCCTCACATGGGATCACAGCGCCTCCTGGGGCCCCGGCCTCTACCCTGTCCTCCACCCCAACCGAGGCCTCACCCCACACCTCTCCACTAGGTCCCATCATCACTCAGGGCCAGTCCCCCCCACCAGCCCCATCACCAGGCCCTCACGACTGTCCTCAGTCCACCGGCCTCATCCTGCCCTTCACCCCAAGTGCACTGGTAGCCCCGGATGCCCGGTCCCCTTGGGCCATGCTCTCACACCCTCTGGCCCACATCCCACCTCCTGACACCTTCCATGTGCCCTCCCCACCTCGGAAGCCCTTCACCCCCGCCAGCAGGGCGGGCAACGCCTCCGTGCTCACCGTGGCCCCCCGCGACGCTGAATCTCCAGGCTTCGGGCTGCCCCCCCTTGCCCCGTCACTGCCGGGACGCCTGCCCCCTGCCCGCTGCACCCTGGCTCCGGCCACTGCGCCGGGCCCTTGAGGGCTGAGGGCTGAGCATCGATCCTCCCGATCACCTGCCCACACCCCGGTCACCTGGTCCCAGCCGCGGCAGCCGGCCCCACAGCCCACCCGGCCAGACCCGGGGCCCACGGCCACACCACCGCCGTAAGCCCGGCCGCGCGCCCACTTCTCCAGGCCTCCCTGCGGGGGCTGCCAGGGACGGCCCCACCCGCACCCCCGTGCTGACCGCCCCGCAGCCCCCCACCCCCGCCCGCCCGAGGAGCCGCCTCACCTGTCCACGGCCAGCGCCTCCACGCTCTCCTGTCGCTTGACCCGGGGCGGGGCCGGTCTCGCACTCCCGGGCCGAGGGAGTCTTCTGGGCCCAAACGGTGGAAAAGTGAAACAGGTGCGTGAGCCACGGGTCCAGCAGAGCAGGCAGCACAGGCTCCCGCCACGCCGCCTCCCAGCCCGCCCGCACCCCGGGCAGTGGCGCAGGCCGAGGCCACCTGGCACCCAGCAAGCTCCAAAGCGGCCACGCTCCGGCGTGCGCTGACTGACTGGGGGTGCCCAGCAGAGCGACCGGCCACAGTCCAGACTCCATGCGTCCCTGCCCCGCGGCACCTCCCACCTCGCCAGCGCACTCCAGGCAGCCTCCCCCAGGGGACAGCCTGCAGGGAGTGGGGTCCAACGGGGAGAGCCCACGGGGGGCAGGGGAAAGCCCATGGGGGGGACCAGGGGACAGCCCACGGTGGGGGCCCCACAAGGGAGAGCCCATGGGGGCTTCGCTTTCCCTGGACAGATGCTTCCCCAGAGCGGAGCTGGAGCCAGGAGGCAGGCGCGGGGGCTGGGGTGAGCACGGACCTGATGCTGGGGGACAGCTCGTTCGGGGGCTCAGACCTCTCTGATGCCTCAGACTTCTCCTGGGCGGGGGGGCCGGCTTCTCCTTCTGGAGGTGACCATGCAGCCGTGGCCCGCAAAGGAAGGAGCACAAATGCTGGTCAGCGCAGGGAACACCCCAGGGGAACACGCGACCTCCCTGCCAAGCCCCTGGGGACAGCCCGGGCAGGAGGGAGGCGCGTGCGGGCCGGGCGGGCTCCGCCGTCACTCGTGCCCCCGCCGCCTGTTCCCACGTCTCCGCGCCGGGAACCCCCGCCAGGCCTCTGCGCGCCCGTGCCGGGACCTGGATAACTGCTCTCTTCAATTTGAGAAAAAGGTTGGATCAGCCCCAAAGAGCGGGACACGTGAACTTGCTCCACGATGTGAAATGAAAGGGCTTCTCACGCTTCAGGAAACAGCGAGGAGAAATTCCAACTTAGACACTGGAAACCCGCGCGAGACGGGGGATCTGGAGAGCCGCGTTCACGGAGCCCGCGGTCGAGGGAGACGCTGGCGTGAAGGCCCTTCTTAAGGTGAGTCGCTTTCACTAACACAAGGTGTCTGTGTCTGCACGCCCGCCCGATCTGCACGCCTGCCCGATCTGCACGCCTGCCCGGTCTGCACGCCCGCCCGGTCTGCACGCCCGCCCGAGTCTGCACGCCCGCCCGGTCTGCACGCCCGCCAGAGTCTGCACGCCCACCCAAGTCTGCACACCGGCCCGGTCTGCACGCCCGCCATTCCCCAGCACAGCAAGGGGCCCGTCCTCACCTGCGTCGCTGGGTGAGTCTCCTGAAAGGAAAAGCACATGAGAAAGTTAGTTTTATTGTTTTTTGTTTTTGTTAAAGATTTATTTGTTTTTATACAAGAGCTGAGGCACAGGCCAGAGGTGTGGGGGTGAGAGGATTCCACAGGGACAGAGCGGGGAGCAGAACAGGCAGATGGACAGAAATCCACTGCTGAGGGGAGCAGCGGGGAGACAGGAGGGGTCTGCTGTGCCATGTGGGTAGCTCCCTGGCCGGCCGGGATCGAACTGCCGCTGCAGAGGCTGCAGACAGCTCCACAGCGCAGCGTTCAACCCGCTGCGCCACCAGGGAGGCCCAAGAAAGTTAGTTTTTGCCCGTCAAACTCTGGACACCAGAGGAGCAGAGCGGGCTGCCAGGGGAGTGGCCTCTCCTCCCGGGCCTCCGCCAGCTCCCTCCTGCCCAGTTGTTCTCAAAGACAAAAAAGACAAAGAACAGTCGGGACGGGTGAAGTGTCACCCCAGGGAGACAGGGAGCAGGGCCCAGAGCGCCTGTGTTGCGGGTGATGCAGCACGGCTCCCAGGGGCCGGAGGTGGGTGGCCGGGAGCGGTTCCGAGCTACCACCAGGCCTCGGGACCCCGCACACTCGGGGTTCTCCTTGTGGCCAATAAGGAGCAGGCCTCCTGCTGCCCAGGCGCGTCCTCCCGGGACCCTGCTGCTTCTGGAAACAAACGTGACTGGGGGCACAGCAGCCGAGCAGAAGCACAGTGGGTGGGTCGGAAACCGCGGGGCCTTCATTCCCACACTGCAGACGCTCACGTGCACAGAAGGGCAGAGGCCTGGACGGTGCCCAGGACAAGGACAAATGTGCCCCCACAGACTCCAGCCCTACCCATGGGGCCCCCACGCACCCGCCTGTGTGGAACCCGTCACCAGCGGAGGGTGCCTGCAGACACAGGTCCTCCCAGACACGCCAGTCGGGGCCACCACTGCCCCCAAAGTCCTCCCTCCCACGCCTCCCCCTGCACCAGCCCAGCCACCTCTGTGGCACCCGTGCCCCGGCGGCCACCCATAAGCACTTGGCCGGCCGAGCCGACAGACAGCCGCCCTCACTTGGCTGCCCCCGGCCAGCCCGCAGCAGGGGCCGACCCTGGGCCTGCCTGGGCCCCAGGACACAGAGGCTGGATGTGTGTTTCACCAGCATTTCCTCTGCACGACAAGGAAAATCACGCCGAGAGAAAACCTGCCTCAGATCCACTAAGGCCCCGGCGGGCACTGAGACCGAGGGCCTCCGCGGGGACAGCAGGCGGGCGCTGCGCGGCTCAGAAGACCCGCCTGGATGTGACGTCAGCCCTCCCAGCCAGGCCAGGCTGCCATCGGGCACTATCGTGGGTACGGGGGGCCTGAGCCGTGTGCCGGCAGCACTCCAGCCCCGGGGAGGGAGGGGGCGTCACCGGCCACACGGGCTGAGGGCCCGCCCGGAGGTCCCGGCGCCGCGGCGGGGCAGGCGCCGCTTACCTTTCTGTGTCACTGTGGCCTCTGGCTTGAGGCGCTCTCGCCACACACTACTCGCGCTCTCCTCTGGGACACTAGCGGAGCTAGCAGCCGCGGCCTGTGCTCCTGACGTGAGACAGTTTGAAGCAAGTCAGCAGGGCTGGCCATTGGAGGGCGGCGCCCCCTGGCCACAAGGTCAGCGCCCGTCATCGGGGGCTCCCCAGGCTGCCCGCCCCTGGAGGGCACGCGGGGCCGACCGAGGACAGCACCGGGACGCCCGCCGTGGCTCGGGGGTGGGGAGCGCAGACTGTGAGCAGCGGGGGGCTCCACCGTGGAGGACCCAGCCCAGAGAGAAGTGGGGGCCAAAAATAAAGTTGGGAAAAGGTCCCCTTTCTTGAAACGCAATCTTAGAGTTTCTTAAAAGCGTTCAAACGAACACGTCCATCCCCCTCGGTCCGTCACCAACCATCAAACCTCGGCTGACTCGCGTCACAGAGCTAGATCAGGCAGATGACGTGCAATTCCCTAAGGAAAACGTTCGCCCCCTGTGAGGGCAGCGCTGCCTTCAACGGCTTCACCCGAGCAGCTGGTGGTCCGGGCTTTACAGAGGACGCCCACAGGCCCCGGGAGACAGTGGGTTCGAAGGCAAATCTGGACGTGGGCATCGGCGCAAGCCGGCATCTCCTGCGCCCGGCAGACCCGCGCCCGGCAGACCCGCACGGAGAACACCCCGGAGCGCCACTCGCCGGCACAGCTCGAGGCCACAGCCCAGGCCCATCCTAGTCTGTCCGTGAGCATGCGCCCACTGAGCCAAGCACGCACAGCACGCTCGAGAGTCTGCACCCTGAGAGTCTCCACAAACCTGCCACCGAGGGCGGGTCAGCCGCTGCCAAGGTCAACGCCCGCTGTCAAGAGCAGACGATGCACAATCAGAGGCTCCACGCTGTGTCCACGCTGCCAGCCGTGGTGAGCCTGTAGGGATGGTGGCCGCAGGCAGCCCACCCCCCAGCCTCTGCCCTGGGTGGGTTCCTCCCTCCCTGTGCCCAGCCTGCCCCTTGGGGGGGGGGGCTGGCAAGACTAGGAGCAGACGCGGAAGCACCGTGCCAGGCTGGCTGAGGGCCACCCTTGGGCAGTGACCGTCCCTGGAACCCAGCGGCCACAGCACAGCCCACGGCCACGCGAGCAGCTCCCCGCCCGGCCCATGCACCACAGGCTGCGGCCAGAGCCGAGTGTCCACACAGGCAACGAAAGCGAGGGGGGACGGGGCACAGCACAAGCGAGGGGCTCACCCAGCCCGTCTGCTCAGGCATTTGATCCAACAGAAGGGGGTAAACAAAACACCCCCCAGGAAACAGCAGACAAGTCCAGACCCAGAAGGCAAAAAGTTCCAGAGACCAGCAGCTGATCCCAGACAGTCAAGGCCCAGGAATAAAAGGGGGGGACTCATTCTGGATTCAAAAAGCGAAAGAGTGAAAAAGGGCAACACACGTGTTCACCGTGCAGGGACCCGGCCCTGGCAGAATGAAGGCTCTCGGATGCGATGGCCCCGTCTGGGTCTCAGCCGCCGTGGGAGCCAGGATTCGGGCGGCACGGCCAGGCCGGGAACACGCAGGGGCACCCCTTTTGCTCTGTGTTCTGTATTCAACACGCACTGAGTGTCTCGTAAGAGCACGGCTGCAGGCATGACAGGGTGCCGGGCTCGGAGGCCGGCAGGGAGGCAGAGAGCCGGGACAGCGTGTGCAGGCCTCGGACGGGGAGGCCACAAACTGCGGGACTCGAGTCCTTCGGGAGTCCCGCACGGGGGAAGACGCGGGTAAACCCCCAGCTGAGTCCTGCCCGCCCCAGGGGCACAGCAAAGGCCAGTGTGGTTCTGGAGAGCCTGAGGCAGACCGGGGTGGGGCGCTGCGTGAACGGGGGGAGGTGCCTTCCCAGGGCACCCACCTGCACATCACACTCAACCGAGAAGCTGAACCGTGACAAACCCCAAATTCCAAGCCAAGTGACCACCTGCGCAAGAAGACACGTGTGCCTGGTGTGACGTGGCGGCAGGGACTCTGGGGGCGGCGGGGAGGCAGGGCCCCAGGGGGCAGGGTCCCGGGGGTGGCAGGGATCTGGGGTGCAGGGGCCACAGGACCCCAGGGGGCGGGGCCGTGGGACCTCAGGACCGTGTGCATGACCGCTCGTGGCCAGCAGGTGGCGCTAGCTGCACCTGCACTAGCCCGCAGCCAGGCCCCGCGCCCCGGGAACCAGCTGCTGGTCAGTCCTTAAGCAGGCGGGACAGTCGCGGGTCACACTGACGCTGGCGGCTGGTGCCCCAGTGACCAGTGAGGGCAGTGGCTCTGAGGACACCCCTTGCTCAGGCTGGCGGAGGCAGGAGAGGGGGCCCGCCTATGGACGGGGTGCAGGGCTGCGAGGATGCCCCGCCCGCTGGTTTGCCTCCGCTGCCCACCTCCCCCCTAACCTGACCGACAGGCTTAGATGGACAGGCCCCTTCACGTTGCCCATCTGGGGCCACCCGGGGCAGGAAGCCCACGCACAGGCCCTCCTGACTCGCGGGGGATGTGCAGGTCACCCCCGGCCAGGCTCCGATCTGTGGCAGCCCCGCAGACGTGAGGCGAGGTTGGCCGAGAAAGGGACTATTTTTCCCCAGAGCAAGACTGATGCCGTCTTGCTCCTCGGGGGCCCCCAAGGAGTCCACCGTCCCTGAGCACAGCCAGGGCCTGTGTGGCAGGGCGAGCCTGCAAGAGGCCTGTGTACACCGCCCGGCGGCCAGCTCCTGCCCAGCGCGTTCTCAAGACCACGCAGCGGACGGGTGGGGGCGCGAATCACCCTCTAGCCAGCCGCGGATCCGAGACGCCGGCCGGGAGAGGAAGACAGCGCTAGGCCCAGGCCCGAGGGAAGGCCCGGCAGGTGAGCCGAGCGCTGAGCGGGCATCCCGGCCGTAAGTCGGCCAACTACCCCAGCAGGTGGCGCCCTCGGCCCGCTCGCGGCCGGCCAGCCCCTGAGGGCGACGGAGTCAGAGCAACGTCCAGTCCACGGCCACCGGCCGGGCGCTGCGCAGGCTCACGCCAGCGCACAGAGGGATTTAACCAGCGCGCGCATTTTCTTACCAATTTCTGAAGGTGTCGCTTCCTGATCTGGTTCATTACTTAGTCCAGAGGCTACGGAGTCTAAAATTTTAGCTGAAATATTTTCCTCCTTTCTTCCTGACGTGAAATAGTTAACAACAGATTAAAACTCGCCAAGGTGTGGGCATCTGGTCCCTGGGACTTACGGGGCTTATGACACCCTCGTCATCAAGGGGTCCCACTCGCTCCCTCACCGCCCTCGTCTCCTCCCACTGGGCTGTGCTGGTTTTCACCTTCCACGTCTGCAGCCCCCACCCTGGACTCTGGGCCCACGCCCAGCCGGCCCCGCACCTCTCTTCCCGGCCGTTTCCCAGGTGCAGACCAAGGCCAGGAGCCGCCCCTGCCACCAGCCGGCTTCCCCAAGCCCCCTTGGGGGGCCATCTGCTTCCAGCCCCTCCTTCCCCACCAGCACCCCCGCACTTTCCTGGCCCGCCCTGAGCTGGCAGTGAACCCCGGCCATGGCCCCTCACCAGAGGCACCGCGGCCGCCCAGCCACATCGCTCTGCAGTTCCTAGCGGGGCAGCTTCGAAACACACGTCACCCCATCTTGCTCCCGAAAGGACACTGAGCCCCCCTCCCTGAGAAGGCAGCGGCGTCCCAGCAGCACCAGCTGCCCACTCACTGGCCTCCTCCCGGCACCCTCTCCACGCCCAGCCAGCTGTCCTGGGCTCCCAGCCCTCCCACAGCTCCAGGCTTCTTCCTTTGAGAGCCTCCAGGCCGACTGAGGTGACCGCGGCAGCCCTGACCGCGTCTCCCCCTCGGGCTGCACCTCTGGAGGGCAGGCAGCCATGCACCTGCAGTGGACGGTCAGCCCGCGGCGGGCTCAGGGCCCATGCCTGGGGCGGCCCTGGCTCTGGTGTGGCCTGTGCCCACTGCCCGGCTCCCACTAGCCACAGGCCGGGCCAGGGCCACGAGCCGGCCGGCCCCTGCGGCCACCTTGCCCGGGCGCTCACAGGGGAGGGGGCTGGCAACGGGAGCCTCGACCCCGCCCTGCGGGCCCCGCGGCCTTACCCAGCGGCTTCACGGGACGCTCCTTCTTAACCTTGCTGTAGGAGGAGTTACGTTCTTTCTCGGGGGAAAGACTATTCTCGCTGGCTCTAGAGCCCCTTCTTCCTGACGTGAAATCACACAAGGAAAAGACGCGTCAAGCTGGAAGCAGGTGCTGCAGGCCCAGCAGAGGGCGTTCAGGGCCCTGCTAATGCAGTGAGCAGCCCCACGCATCTGCCTGAGGACGCGAGAGACGCCGCTCCCGCACGCACGCGGACACACCTGGGCCCGCGGGGCTGGTGCCAGGCCCTGAGCCTGGCAGACACAGTCACACGCCGTCACCGAGGGCTGGTGGCGCCGCCCGGGCCTGCACATCTGCCCACAGCACATGTTCCGGCAGGAAGGAGGCCAGTCGGGAGGGTCAGTGGCGCGGGAGGCGGAGAGCCGGCCAGGGGCGCAGCGGGGCGAGGCCAGAACACAGCCTCCCGAGCCTCTCGAGGCTCAGAAGCGAACACCCCAGTGCGCAGAAAACACAGAATATTTCAGCCTAAAAAACCCAAAAAATCAAGGGAGGAGTAAAGGGCTCGAGGCAGCACAGGCTATAGACGTCGGCCGGTCCCCAAAACACATGGGGGCCGAAGAGGCCCCGGTGCGCCCGTGCCCCAGCAGAGCCGGACCTCCCGGCCGGCCTGAGCCACAGAGGCGAACGCGATGGCTGAGCGGGGTGCCGGGCTGGCCTCCCCCACCCCCAGCCCTCGCCAAGCACACAGAGGGCGCCTCAGAGCCCGCGCTGCAGCCCCGGGGAGCCTCTTCACGGGTCACGCCTGCCCTGGACCAGCCTACAGACTCCAGCCCACACGTCCTTGCTCAACCTGCCTCTCGGCCAATAACCCTGAGCTCCTCGGCTCTCAGGCTGGCCCCCAAATCTACCCAACCCCAGCCCTGTTCTTAGACGGGGAGGAGGCCGGGGTTACCCGGCCAGTCAGTCTGCGAGAAAGCTGATCTCTCAAACCTCGGGCTCCTCTGCTCTGAGTGGCAGTGGAGACCCCACTGGCCGGTGCCAGGGCCCTCGGGACAGCGCGGAGACCACCCACACGGCCCGGAAGGCAGGACCGGCCTCCCTGCACCGGGCAAGCCCGAGGCCGAGTCCGATCCCGTCCCAAGAAGGTCACCTGCTGTGGGAGGCCAAGTCTTTCACCAAGAAGTGATTTGTAAGCACAACTGCGAGCTAAACAAGCAACAGAACGGCTCAGGTGTTTTACCAGCCGGGCGACTGCAAGCAGATACACAAAACCCAGACCCAGAATGTGGGGGCGGGCGGCTCAGGGAGCAGCCGGGGCTCGCCCCGAAGATGCGGCAGCTGGGAGTCATTCTGGAGAAATGGCTCTGGATCCCCGACACCGTGAATTTGGAGAAACAACTAAAAAGGTGAGACATGAATATGTCAGACAAAACGCCAATCTTTAGTTCTCCCATCTCTGTGCAAACCGCATGTCAGCAGAGACGGCTGGACGGCGAGGCCCGGCAGCTGGTGCCTGCCGGGGCGCTGGACACCAGGGGCCACCCGCGAGCCGGGGCAGACACCCGCATGCAGGACACGAGCCGCCCACCACAGCCGGGCGTGACGCTTCTGCCTCTCATTCACCAAAACCAGCACGCCTCCGAGGCAGACAGCAGGGAGGGCGGCCGTCACTGCCTTGGGAACCTGCCCGGGAGTCCAGACAGCCCGGGGAGTCTCCCCGACTCTTGTGATGGAGCAGAACGCCCCCCGGCCTGGACACCCCACTGCCACCCACGTGCGACCGTGACCTTTACAGCACAGGGGAAGGATGACATTCCAGAAATGGCCACTGCTTGTTCTCCTGCTTCACTGGACAGCCTGATCAGGCCGTCCCTGCACCGGGCCTCCTGCTCGGCCTCCTGACGCCCCATCGGGACAAGGCCCCTGCTCAGTAGCTGGGCCAAGTGTGAGCCCCCACTTCAGCCCTGAGCCCCCGGCAAGGCCCCAGGAGAACCTGTCATCTGTGCAGGGCCCGCCTCCCCCACGGCCGCCCTGCGCCCCCCACCCACTCAAAGCCAAGAGGCCACAAACAGAGGCCTAGGAACCATTCGCAGGAATCACCAACTGATGGCATCTTCTAGACCCGGATCTATAGAGGCCCATGCGTGGCCTCCCGGGTCCCGAGTGCCGGCCCGAGTGCCAGGGCCCCGGTGCCGAGGCGTCCAGTCTCTGCCCCCCGCCCAGGACAGCTGCTCTCCAGCGCATTCCCTCTCCCAGGCGTCGTGGCGAGGCAGAGAAGCCCCGGCCCTGCTACGGGCTGCAAGTACCTTCCACTGAGTGCTTGGACCGCCGCTTGGACAGCTTGGTCGCCACTGACCGGGACGTCCTAGCAGAGATCTCCATCTTGAAGAAAAGAGTAGGGAAGATTAGCGGACACAGCATAAGCTATGCCAAGAGCACATTTGGCGCTCGGCTTGGGAAGGGCCCAGAACCACAGCTGGAGCAAAACCCTGGCAGTATGGCCGGGCCCAGAGCATGGGGTGTGGACCAGGCCGGGCACACTGGCGCCCGTGGGCAGCCCCTGTGGACACACACACACACTGCGGTGGGAGACGCAGCGGGAAACCGGCCCCCACCCACCTGCCCTGTATCCTCAGCCACCCCAGCCCTCGACTGTCCCAGCACCCTGACCTGCCCCAGCCGCCTGACCCGCCCTGACCCGCCCTCTGAGAAGCCACCAGAGCGGGAAGGCCATACAGGGAGCTTGGTGTGGACACAATCCGGCCTCCCGCTGGCCACACCTTCCCGACTACCCGGTGACTTGACACACTGGACCCCGCTCTGTGCCGCCCAGCACTCTCGGGGCTCCCAGCCCCTCGGCCCCTCACCCACACTTGGCGTATGAAGGCGAGGACACAGGTGGGCGGAGCCACGCAAGCCTCGCAGCGAGCAGGGCCAGGTGTGTGGCCCGTCCCGTCTGACCCACACATCCCGGCCTCACGCTCACGCCGCCCACACATTTACCTCGGCCTCGGCTTTGGAATCCTTAACAGCTCCCTCTGAGGGCTTTTTGGGCATCTCCCCAGAGCTTGCTGACTACAAAAAACACACAAGAGAACATTCTCTTATGGGACCTCCAGAATGACGGCGTCTGCAACAGGTAACAGGTGCCGAGCTGTTTCCCTGGACCTGACCGCAACCAGACAGCGTCCCAGGGGCCCCCATGGCCCGCAGGCTCACGTGACTGCCCGGACCCCAAAGGTCCCTCCTGCCAAGAGAGCTCCCCAGGCATGTACCTGCACCTCAGAAAAGCCGGCCCCCAGTGAGGGGCAGAAGCGGACAGGCCTGCCTGTCTCTAAACGCCCAAACGGGCCTGGCTTTCTGGCTCGTGGCCGGGCCACGCTGCCGCAGGCTGCCCACGGGGGACAGTGTTTTCCACAGTGACGCCCGCCGCCCCTCCCCCGAGAACACGGGCTGTCACCTACGGGTGGCTTCTGACCCGGCAGGACAAACAGGGTTCCAGGACTCCTGCGGGTACAGCCCTCGGACCCACTGGCTCAGCCCACGGGAGACGCAGGGGCCAGGTCTGTCCCCACCCATGCAGATCTGGACTCTTGCCACCCCTGGGAATTCTCCTTTTCACAGTCAAGGCCAGGCATCTCCAGGACGCCTGCCAGGGACCGATGCCCCAGGGCGGCAGCGGCTGCGGGGCCAGACCCACGGGAGGCCCCGGGGACCCACCCCACCAGAAAAGCGTGTGGAGGCGAGAGGCCGCTCCGGCCAGCCCTACGGCTGCCTGGGAGCTTCGTGAGGATCACCGTGAAGGTCTTGGCTGCGCCGCGCGTGCCGCCCTTACCACACGCCGGGACGTCCCAGAGCCGCCACGGCGAGGCCGCAGCCGCCCCGCTCGCCAGCCTGCAGGCGCACACGCGCGTGCACAGACCCCCCCAGGGCAGGGCGGGGGGCTCCAGACACTGCAGGAGCCTGGGAGTCCCCGACGCCCACAGAGCCGTGGCGCCGGCCTCCGGGCTCGCCGACCACGGTGACGACACGGCCGTGTCCGAGCGCGCCCAGGATCCCGCGGGCGGGGGGCGAGCGCCCGTCACCTTTTTCTCCGCCTTCTCGTGCTCTCTGCTCTTCTCCCTGTCGGGGTCCCGGGGCTGCTCCCCGTTCCTGGCCCGCCGCCGGTCCCGGTCCCTGTCTCTCCAGCGGCCCTTCTCCTTGCCGCCCTCGCCCCGCCGCTCGCGCTCCGCGTCCTTGTCGCGGTCCCTGGCGCCTCGCTCCCTCTCGGCCCGGGCCCGGCTCCTGCTCTTGTCGCGGTCGCCCTCCGGGGGCTTCTCCCTGTCGGCGGCTCCGTGGCGGCCCCGCCCGTCCTCCCGCGCCTGCTCCCCCGTCGCTCTGCCGTCCTCCGTCGGCTCCTCCTTCTGCTCCGGGTCCCGGCTGGCACTGCGCTCGTGGGGCCCGGCCCTCCTCCTGTCCTGGAGGGAAAGGCCAGCTGTGGTCCCGCCCGCGGGCACTGCCCGAGCCCAGACGCTGCCCGAGCCCAGACACAGCCCGAGCCCAGCCGCCGCCCGCCCGGCTCAGCACGCGCAGCGCGAGGCACCTCCTTGTCCTTGCGCGCCCGCAGCTCCTCCTCCCTCGCGTGCTTGTTGTCCGCTTCTTTGGACTTGGGGGCCAGCGAGGACCTTCCCTTCAGGTCCCCCTTCTCTCCCGCCAAGACCCTCCTCACCGCGTCGTCACTGGAGAGCTGGGCGGCGCGAGAGGAAGGAGAACAAGGGCCCCGCGTGAGCGCAGGGCGCGGAGGACAAAGCGCTCGGAGGAGAGGCTCCCGCCACAAAGGCCAGCCCCTGCCCTCCGGTCTCGGCGTGCCTCGGGGGACCCCCAAGCCTCAGCCCCCGGCACACGCCGCTCGGCCCCACACCCCAGGCATGAGGGCCTCTGGGGCGCGCCCAGTATCTGGGGAGCCAAGTGAAACCCTGGCTGCTGTGGGGACATGACCAGGGCACCGGGGCTGGCCCGGGAGGCAGGGAGGGTGACCGGTCCCATTGTCGTCGATGGAGGACGGGAGGCGGCAGCGGCTCCGCAGGAGAAACTACGGGACGAGGCAGGGGAGGGCGACCACACAGGAGGCTCAGGGAGAAGAACCAGAGGAAGATGTGAGCTCAGCTCGAGGGAGCTGGGGGCCCTGCGGGTGGGTGCAGGTGGCCCAGGAGGCTGACGAAGGCCTCGGTAGGGAAGACCGCAGTCGGATCTGCGGCTCAGCAAGGTGCGCGGGTGGGGAGGGAGAACAGCTTCATGGTTTCTAAGCCAGAGAGCTGGACCAGGCCAGGCGAGGCTCCCGAGGACTCCCGGCCCCCTCCCTGCCCGCCCCACTACCGCACAGTGCTGCCAGAACCCACCGTCCCCCAGCCCTCCCCACAGCCGGCTCACGGAGGGTCCTCTTCCTCTCCCCCAGGGGGCTCCTCAGTCCCACAAAGAGGGCAGGCCCCAGGGACTGTGGGACACCCCTACAGAATGCTGAGACAAGGAAGACCACAAGGTCGTGGCTGTACAGAGTCTGCGAAGCTATGCCTGGGGGGAGGACTCGATGAGACAAAGAAACAGAATGACCTGACGGCGCAGAACCTGGGTGGGGAACGTGTGCCCGGACGAGGCCAAACGCGCAGAGAATCCTCATTGTCCAGGAACTAACCTGGGGGGGGGGGGGCTCCTTGTATCAATAAACACGAGCTGCACCGGGCACTCGGGACGCCTGAGCAGGAATGAGGGCCTTGCGTCCTCGGGCCCCACGTCTCTTAAACTCTGTTTTGTGTCTGTCATGATTTTGTGTCTGTTTATAATTTCCTCGGTTCGATCAGATTCCTCTCTCAACCCTGCTCACCGGAGCTGGACTCCGGCAGGGGACCACCTCCTCCAACGTCCTGGGAAGATGGCAGGATCTAACCCGAGAGGCCAAATTTTTAGGCCTCCGCAAGAAGCCCGGGACGGCCAAGTCCAGGCCAGCAGGAGGAAACGGGTTTCCCTGAGGGCAGCGTAGCTCTGCAAACAAGAGGGGGGCGGGGGCGGGAAGGCAGGGGCGGGCGGCTAGGACAGACCGCAGAGCTGGGAGAGGCAGGCAGAGGACAGTCAGCCTACAAGCCCCGAGGAAGAAGACGAGCAGCTCCTCCCACCCGGCCCAGGAGGCCCAAAAAGAGGCGCAAGGCCTCGGGAGCCGTTCGCAGCCTCCAGCCCCTGTCCCGGCGGCCACAGCGCGCCTTGGCACGGTCCTGATCGGACTCACTGGCCTGAGTGACCCCGGAGCTCTGCTGCCCAGAACTGGCGGGATCAGGCTCTGCAGCAGCCCGAGCACCGGCCCCTCCCCGTGTCCCCCGCGCTACCTTGCTCAGGCAGCATTTCCCGATCAGCTGGAGCAGCTCGTTGGTCCTCTCCGGCTCGTGCCCGGCCACGATGCGGGCGGGCTTGGCCGATGGGGGCTCCCCTGAGACCAGCGCCACCACGTCGATGGCCTTCTGAAGGAAGCTGATCTTGGCATCTTTCTCCTGAAAGATTCACATTGAAATACTCAAAAAGTGCTGCTTTACCTTTGTCACGTCGACAGGCACGGTTTTTTCTGCTTGTTTGTTTGTTTTTTGGTGGGACCCTCGCCGGCGGCCAGGGAACAAGCAGGTGCTGCAGAGGCTGCGGGCAGCCCCGCAGCCCAGTGCTCAACCGCCGCGCCGCCAGGGGAGGCCCCACAAGGCGGTTTTTATATAACGCTATGTCCACTTCAGAGACGCGCTAGGACGCAGCCGCTGGACTTCACTGATGGGCAAACACTGACCTTTGAAACATTCACCCTGTTTCTCGGCGGAGACAATTAGCTTGAAATAAGAAAGGGCGTGACCCGTGCCCCAGCCCCGCACGCACCATGCAGCACCCCAACCCGCCCCCAGCCAGCGACCAGCAGACATGTGGCAGGCGCAGAGCAGGCTCATCGTCACCTGCTCACGAGGGCGAGGGGCCCTCGCACCTACCTTCACGTTCTCCGACTTCATCTCGGCGTCTGTGTAGAGCCCCTTCATGAAGCCCGTCACCCGGATCACCTGGAGACACAAGCCAGGCAGCGGTCAGCACCCGACAGCCCCGGCACCCCACACTCAGGGGCTGTCAGAACCCGCCCACCCAGGAGCAACCACTCGCCACTGGACAAAGACTCAGCCCCCCACACGAGGCCTGTGCCAGGCGGCCCCGCCCAGCTCACGCAGCACCCACTGGCTGCGGGGACAGGTGAACAGCGCGGCGGAGGGATGGGGGCGGGGCCGGCACAGGACACAGGCCTGAGTGCACCTGCACCCAAGAGCTGGAGCTCGCACGACCTGGGGGACATGGCCCTAGGAAGCACCTGCCAGGAGGAAGAAACAGACCCTGGAAGGCCCAGGGCCAAGGGGCCCATCCCAGGGGTCAGAAGTTGGGGATGGAGGGAGCTGAGCCAGACAGGCAGGTGGGCCGGGTGGCCGCTCGGGCACAGACCTGACCCGAGGGCCAGGAGGAGGCCCTGAGGTGCGAGGGCGGGAACGGCCTCTTACAAGTTTGCTCAGGCCCAGCAGGCAGGGGATTCGGGAACGAAAAGGGATTTCTCAGCTGGGGTTCCCAGAAAGGCGCGGTCCTCCACCATTGCTCACTGCTGAGGACAGGGGGGCAGCCCGGCTAGATCACGTCAGCTCCCCCACTCCGGCAACCTGACCTCCAATTACCCCTCGCACCAGCTTTTAGGGTGGTGATGATCTCTGTCCCCCCAGCCCCCCACAGCCAGGGGTCTGTCAGACCAGCCTTTCCAACGCGGCTGGTCACTGGGGAGCGACGGGCATTTGAAAATAAAAGAAACAGAAGAGAAAGGCCCCGCTGTCCGCATAGGGAAGACAGGGCCCACGTGCGCCCGGCCTGCTGCAGGCAGATACGCTGGGGGCGTGTCTGTGAAACAACGGCCGGCGCTGACCCCGGCCCCGAAGGCCCCGAGCCGCTGGCAGGCCCGCTCTCACCCCCACCCAGCCCGGGAGCTGGCTCTGGTTTCCAGGTCAGGCGGGCTCCTGGGCAGCCTGCATTTACTGGCACTTCCTCGCTTCATCTTTTTTGAGATTTTCCCAGTTCCTGGCAGTTACAACTGGGCACAATCATTTTAGGCAACAAGAAAAGCCAGTGTCACGGAACCAGGGCTCCGACTCGCAGAAGGGGCAGAGCTGGCGAGGAGCCGCCGCCAAAGCAGGATGTGGCTCTCGCAGGATGCACGGCGGTGCCGCCTCCCCAGGCTCTGCACCTGCTGCCTGCAAGCGCTTTCCCCAGCATGAGTTGTCCCAACATCTTTACCAAGCAGGGGACGGCCCCTGTTTCATCTTCGCCCAGGCAGAGAGAGGAGCTGAGCTTTAGATTGGGAAGTGCGTGGAGGGAAAGCGGACCAGTGGTTCCCGACTGGAGAGCGAGCTCCCTCCACCAGTCCCAGCCGCCTGCCCCACCCAGGCACCTCCTGGTCGATGCTCCTGTCCCCACTGCGGCCGGGAGGTGGGCAGCAGCCGCCAGGAGCCCAGCGCCCCCCAAGAACCACCGGCTGAGTGTGTCCTCAGCCCCCCCAGCACTCCACATCAGTGGGGGACGAGACACACAGAAGACGACAGGCCAGGCCGTGCTGGCAGGCGCAGCCGCGGGGCGGGCTCGTGACCGGGCAACCTCGCTTGTCCCTCCTGGGATGGAGGTGGCCACCTGCCGGCTTTGGGCAGAGGACAGAGGCACACGGCCAGGTCCCACCAGCTCTGCACACCCCCGCCCCACCGCTGACGGCCTCAGGGCGGGTGGATGTGCCGCCCGGGCCTCCGAGCTGGTCAAGACGGCACCCAGGCGGGGGTCCGGCACTGTGACCCAGGGGGCCGCGAGCAGAGCGCAGGAGCCGCACAGCCTGACCTGCTGAAAGCAGCGAGCGCGGAGGTCTGAGGCCCCAGGCCCGGGCGCCCCTGGAGTCTGCACGTCCAGCCGGCGCCGCTCCCCGCGGGCGGGCCGCGCCCCGAGTCCACCCCGGGCGCGCGCCGCGCCCCGTTACCAGGCACCGGCCGACGGCCACACCGGTGTTGGCCCGCGCGGCCGCTCACCCGGGAGACGCCGCAAACAGCCGGGCGCTGGCCGGGCACCCGGAACGCGGGGTGGGGGCCCCGCCGGCGACCCTGCCGCCCCGCCCGCCCGCCCGCCCGCCCGCACCCCGCGGAGGCGCCGCTAGGCCGGGGCCCGGCAGGCGGGACCCGATCCCCGGGACCGGCGGGGCCCAGCCCGGCCCGACCGCAGCCCGGCCCGGCCCGGCCCGGCCCGGCCCGGCCCACCTCCATGACGATGTCGTGCAGGTAGCGGAACGGGGGCTTGTTCAGCAGCTTCTCCGTCAGCGGCGGCCTCCGGATCACCCTCCCCAGCGCCTCCTGCGTGCGCCTCACCACCGCCGCGTTCATGGCGCCGCCGCCCCCGCGCCCGCCGCCCGCCGCGCCCACGCCGCGGTCCCCGGCCGCCGCCCGCCCCGCCGCCGCCCGCTCCGGCCTGGCCGCGCCGGCCCGGCTCCCATCCCACAGTGCACCGGCGCGCCACGGCGCGTGCGCGGCCCGCCTCGTCGCCAGGGCGGCGCGGCGGCCCTAGCAACGGACGCGCCGCGGCGCCCCGCCCCGACGCAGCCCCGCCCCGACGCAGCCCCGCCCCGGCGCAGCCCCCCCACGACGCAGCCCCGCCCCGGCGCAGCCTCCCCACGACGCAGTCCCTCCCCGAGCAGCCCCTCCCGGGAGCGGCCCCGCCCCGGCCCGGCCCCCGCCGCCTCGGCCCCGCCCCGGCCCGGCCCCCGCCGCCTCGGCCCCGCCCCGCCTAGGCCCCGCCGCTGCCGTCTCGGCCCCGCCCCCGACCAGGCCCCGCCCCCGCCGCCTCGGCCCCGCCCCGCCCCGCCCCGCCCGCTGTGGGCCCGGGCGCCGGCCTTGGTCCGGCGGGTGCTTCGCGGCCCCGTGGCCGCGCCCGGGCGCCCCTCCCCGCCGAGGCCCGCGGGCTGCTGGCGCGCTGCGGCCCGGTCCCGAGCGCCGCCTCGGTGCAGGAGCCCCGCCGCGCCCCCACGCGAGCCGCGCGCCCCCGGCCCCGCCTCGCCTGGCCGCGGTGCTCGGCGCGGGCCGCGTCTGCGCCCCCGGCGCTTCCACCCCGAGCGCCGCCCGGCGAGGGTGCAGGCCCGGCCCCCGCGCGCCAGCGCCGCGCCCGCCCCGGCGCCCAGACACGGCCCGCGGGGTGCGGCCCCGCCCCCCCGCGACCGCCGCGCCCTGCGGGCGGGATCCCGCCTCTCCCGCGGCTTCGGCTTCGCGGGACCGGGACGCGGGCGGCGCCCGCCGCTCCCCCCGCCCCGCCGCTGCCGGCCGTCGCCGCGCCGCTGGCCGAGCCCCCGAGCCCTCTGTGCGCCCGTCTGGGGCCTGGGGGCTCCCACTTTTGGAGTGTGGGGGCGGCGCCGCCGAGACCGCCCCGCGCAGGCCTGGGGAGCCCTCGCTGCCCGGGGCTCTGGGAAGGGGCTCTGTGGACCGGGGACCAGACACCGGCCACTCGAGGCGCGGCCCCCACGCGGCCCCCAGGGCCCCGACGCTGCTCCACAGCCCCGCCGGGGGCAGCCCGGCCCGGCGCGCGCGAACAGTTCCGTTTCCACGTGTCCTCCCGCGACGGGCTCTCCCCGCGCTCTCCGGACAGGCAGGTGGGTCTGGGAGAAAGCCCCGGGGGCGAGTCCCGGCGTGATCCAGCCCCTTGACCGCTGGGCTGCCTGGTGCCGGGACTGCACGTGGGAACCGCGTGCCTTCTGGACCGTCGCGCCCGCGGTCCCGGGGGCATCGCTCTCCCTGCTGCTACCTGCGCCCAGGCGCCTGTGCACGTCGGTGCTGACACAGGGCAGTGCCCCACCCACCTCCACCGCAGGCCCGTCAAAACTGTGGCCACAGCCAGACTGCAGTTCTTGGGGCTGGGCCTCAGTTCACAAGGCAGGCCCACGCTCCGGGGTGCCTGCGCCCCAGGGGTTGGGACGGGGGTGCCGGGGTGGAGGGATTCTCATTTACCAGATGCCGAAGATGCAACAGTGTTTGAGAGGGGGGTGACCCGGCCCTGCTGTCTCCCCTGAGCGACCACCTGGCCCAGCTGGGTGCCCAGAGGCTCCAGGCAGGAGCACCCCCTTCTGAGCCCCCAACACCAGAGGGCAGGCGTCTCTCAGGGACTTTGCTGCTCCGGGCCTCTGACTCTAGCTCCCCACCTTCTCCACTGACACCCCCCACCTCCTCCAAAGAAGCCTCCGCCAGGCATGCATTCCCCCCACAGCAGACCCTGGGGCCCAGGGCGGTCGACCCGCGTGGTGGCGGCCAGCCATCTGTGGTTGCCAGCCCAAGCCTTGTACGTGCATGTGCACGAGTGTGTACGTATGTGTACGTATGTGTGCTAGGGAGCCCTCTGCCTCAGGTCCTCCCAGGGCCCCAGCCAGGGCACACCGAGGCGCCGGAGGCAGCCTGTACACAGCCAGGGAGCCTGTGGCTGAGGGGGCCCTGGGCGTCTTCCCGAGGCCTCCCCTGCTCCTGTGCAAGTCCTCAAAGACCCGGGACCCCAGACCCCAAGAGAGACCAGCCCAGGCCGCGGGTGGGGGTGCAGAGGCCGCCCTGCAACCTCCAGTCTGGGCTCTGTGGGGGGGGCGGGGGGGGCTGTAACCTGAATTGCTCCCCAACGCCTCCCAGAATGAAAGGATTAGAGGGAAAGGCTGAGAGTATAAAAGAGTCACTCGGGAAAAGGAAAGATAATCGATTAAACAACTGCGGAAAGTCTCAGCCAAGAAAGATGGGAAACACAGCAGGCTGGCAGGAGATGGTTCTGAAGTGAGCAGTTGCTAAATGAATGAATAAGATAACCCGGGAGTGACTCACCCCAGGCGGGGGAGCCCCTCAAGGTGAGGTGGCCTTCCAGGCGGCCTGCCTCCCCTGCCTGAGAAGCAGCCACTCCCCAGGCCAAGGCCCGGAGCAGATCCCCACCCCCAGATCCACATGGCGTGGCCTGGTGTGGGTCAGCCGCAGGGGGCAGGGGGCTGGGGGCAGGCAGCAGCGCGCCCTCAGGACCTGAGCACCCGCACAGCCTTGGACCCAGGCAGCAGGGCTGTGGCTGCAGCGGCGACTCTGGCCTGTACCCCAGTTTTTTTTTTAAGATTTATTTATTTAATGGGCCTCCCCAGGGGCGCAGCGGTTGAGCGCTGGGTTGCGAAGCTGCCCGCAGCCTCTTTAGCGCCGGTTCGATCCCCGGCTGCTCCCCGGCCACCAGAAGAGGGTCCCCCATGGCACGCAGACCTCTCCTGCCGCCCGCTGCTCCCCTCAGCAGTGTCCTTCGGTCCTTCTGCCTGTTCTGTTCCCCACTCTGGCTCTGGTGAATTCTCTCACCCTCCCGCGCTTCTGACTGTACCCAGTGCTTGTATAAATAATAAATCTTTTAAAAAAAGATTTATTTATTTAGTTATACAAGATCTGGGGTACAGGCCAGATGCACAGGAGGGTGAGAGGATTCACCAGAGACAGAGTGGGGGAACAGAACAGGTAGATGGACTGAAACCCACTGCTGAGGGGAGCAGCGGGGAGACAGGAGAGGTCTGCTGCGCCATGTGGGATTCTCGCCGGCTGGCAGGCTCGAACCCGCGCTGCAGAGGCTGCGAACAGCTTCACAGTGCGGTGCTCAACCGCCTGCGCCACCAGGGAGGTCCTGTACCCCAGTTCTTAAAAAAACTAAACTAAGCTAAACTAAAATTGGACCCAGTGCGTCGAGACTTAAAAGGAATGATTTCGCTTCTCTGAGAGTGAAGCATCCCACCAGGCTTTCATGGTAAAAGCATTTTAGGCCTGAACGTTGCTCCAAGTTCCCTGACAGGCGCAGGTCGGGCACTGCCAGGAGCTCAGCGCCCCTCCCAGGGGCCGGCGTCTCCAGGAGGGCACGAGGGGCAGGCACCGGGGGCTCCGAGCGCAGGTGTTCCTCAGGCTTCCTGCCTCTGCAATCGGGTGGTGGAGGCACCCGTCAAAGTCAAGTTTCCACGCATGCCCCCCCACCCCAGCACTGAGCTGCAAGTCCTGCCCTGCAGCTGTGATGGTCACTGCAGCAGGCCGCCCCCTCCTGGGGTGTCTCTACGCCCCGGGGTGTCTGTGAGGCAGAGAGCGAGGGTCTGCCTTGGGCATCACCTGCACGCTGGTGAGACAGTTTCCTTTTTTTTTTCTTTATTTCTTTATTTTTTTAAATAGAGACATGTTTTTATTTATTGATTTGTTTGTTTGTTTATACAAGCACTGGGCACAGTCAGAAGCGCGGGAGGGTGAGAGAATTCGCCAGAGCGGGGAGCAGAGCAGGCTTCTAGAAGGACCGAAGGACACTGCTGAGGGGAGCCGCGGGCGGCAGGAGAGGTCTGCGCGCCATGCGGGACCCTCCTCTGGTGGCCGGGGAGCAGCCGGGGATCGAACCGGCGCTGCAGAGGCCGCGGGCAGCTTCGCAACCCAGCGCTCCACCGCCCAGGCTCAGGGCTGTAAACAGAGCCTCCCCCGGCCGCCCCCTCCCTCCCCTGGGGCTCGGGTCCGGAGCAGCAGCAGCTCAGAAGGGGCGGGGGGGGCGGCGCGGGGCGCGCGGGCTGGGGGCGCGCGGGGGGGGCGGCGCGGGGCGGGCGGGGGGGGCACGGACGGGAAGGGAGGTCGAGGGGCGGGGAAGGCCTCGGGAGAGGGGCGTGTGGGGAGCCGGAGAGGCCGCGGCAGGGCGCCCCGCGGGGCGAGGGCGTCGGGGCTCGAGTCGCGCGGAGGCCGCGGGCCGCTCCCTCCGGCCGCCCCTTCGCGGGCTCCGCGGCCGCGCGCCGGGGGCGCTGCCCACTCGGGACAGCGGCCTCGACGGCGGCTCTGCCCGCGGGGCCCGCGCGCCCCCGTCTCGGGGCGCGGCGAGCGGACACACCGAGGGGCGCGCGGGGCGGGCGGCGGGCGCCCCGGGAGGGCACCTGCGCGGCGGGCGCGGTCCTCGGGCGCCGCCCACCCGGGGGGCGCGGGGCGGGGGCCACGGCCGACCCGCGGCGGGGCCGGACAAAGGGCGCCGCCGCCACTGAGCGGAGCTCGCCTCGCGGCCGGCGCTCGGGCCCCGGGCCGATGGGCGCCTTGGGATGCAAATGGGGCGCCATAAAAGGGCGGGACCGCGCGGGCCGCGGCGGGCAGAGCGGCTGCGGGGCACTGGTATCCCCGGCAGCAGCCCTGGCCTGAGAAGCTTGAACTTCCCTTCAGCCTGGCTGCAGGAGGCGGCGGCCTGAGGGTCCAGGGCTGGTGGGGAGCAGCGAGGTCCCGGTTCCGCTTGCGCCTAGCACACCTGGGCTCACACTAGGTGGCCGGGGAACGTCCCAGCGCCAGTAATAAAGGACTTTGGAGCGCGAGCTGCCCCTTGAGGCTCCTGAGTGGGGGGTGTC